CCCGGTGTTACAGGCAGTGTTGACACAGTGCAGCGGCTGGCTGTGCTCCGGGGCTGACATTTTTGGCTTGTTGCTCTCTGCCCAGGAGGGTGGTGGTTGTGCACAGCTGACAAAAGCACCTCAATGGTGTTCTGCCTATTGAACCCAGCACCAAGGCACTGCTGTCACAGAATACCTCACTCTGGAGAGAAATGTGTTGGGTTTTGGGACCCTTTTGTTTTGTAACTGGAATATGTGTGAGATTTTGTTATAACAAAAATATGGTACTTTCATGTACCATAATCTCTGTCTTCCACTGCCTTAAAACAATTAAAACAATTATCAGTTTCCTTTCCATTTATTGACTTTGTCAGGTCCTAGACACAGAAGCTCAGAGAAACTAAGGGCATGCTGTTGGGACACGGAAATCCATAGGAACATGAGGCTGAAGGGCTTCTAATTCTGTTTATGACCTGAGGTCTCAAAGTAGTTGAAACTCTCTCTTCTGGTTGCTCTCTCAAATTAATTATTCCCTCTGCAGCAGAAATATCTTCTAGTCTGCAGAATCTCTATCAGATATATATTAGCAAACACAAATTTATGTATCAGGTTAGTTATGTATCAGATTAGACATTGATTGGGTCAATAAAATGTGTCAAAGTCTTTTTTGATAAGTGTCATTTTATTGGCTTACAACTTTACTTTTGTTTTCTCATTTCTCATTGTTAGGAGACAGATATCAGGGCTGGCAAGGTCTCTGCATTATTCCAGGTGTCTTCAATTAATAGTTTTTGCAATGAGGATAATAAACAGATGACCTGAGTATGAAATATACTTGTAACTCAAAAAGTACTGCTCTTTGCTGCAGGGGAGAGGGTGGAAAGCCACCATTTTGCCACTGGGATGCAGAAGGACTTGTTCATCTTGAGCTTAATTTAAAACATATAGAAAATTATGTGGCTTTAATTTTGGTCTGTGAAATGCTCCTTTTTTTTTTTTTTTTTTTTTTTTTTTTATTCCAAAATTGATATTTCACTTCTATTAATTAAACTGAAGGTAAAAAAAAGATAAATAATCTCTTGGTTATCGGCTTTTTTTTTTTTTTTTTTTTTTTTTTATCTTTGGCCGTCCTTCTGTTCAGTGAAGTAACAGGCTGGAATTATTGCCCAAGTCTTTGTTTTCTTTAGGGCCCGTGGTGCCCTGTGCCCCTGCTCTCCTTCCTGGCCACTGCTCGGCATTCCTGCAGGCTCTGTTCCTCCCTTTCCTCCTCAGTTGCTCCGTGTGGTTGCTCTTGCCTGGGACTGTCTTTCCCAGCATTGTTGAGCTGATCAGGCAGGGATAAGGGAGGAGAGGGAAAGCTTGGAAAGAGCATTTCATACAAAAATGCCAGAATTAAATGATTTCTGGGCTTCCTCCAACAGCCCAGCTACGGTGCCTTTACCCCAGGCAAATGGGACCTCAGTAAGGGAGAGGTATTTTTTGCGTAGGATTGTGCAAGGCTGACTGTGACTTCCTCACACGTTTCCATGTTTTATCTGCTTTCTGGCATCAGTCCGACAAAACATCCCGGTACACTGCAAAATCACAGTGAAAGGGTCAGGGAACGTCTTGAGAATTTCATGGTTCATGGATTTGCAGGTTTTAAATAAGTGAGCAGTTAAAATATTAAGCAGCAGCGCACAGAAACAAACAGAACCAGGAATCGTTTTGTGATATCTTCTTTGCTTATATTTGCTACTTGGAGAAAATCAGACACACCACCTTTATCTGGAACTCAAATATAATGCTATAAAAATATATAGATTGTTCTTTTTTATGGTATAGAGCCAGCCTGACAGTTAGATTTAGTATGTCCCAACTATAGTAGGTATTTTAAACCATTGTACTGATATTTGCAACTTTCTAGGCTTAACGTTTTAAGATTGACCAACAATCCTGTTCCCAGAAGTGGCGTCTGCTGGTTTGTGAACTCTGTATAGGCATGTTTGTGAATTCAAAGGCAATGACCTGATCTGGGAGACTGTGTAACCATTTCATAGCTTTAAAGCCTCTGAAGCAAGGACGAACTTTCTGCCTATTTGCAAAGGACAGAGAGCAAATAAGGCCTTGAGCAAGCTGAAAGGCACTACTGGCAGAAAGGTGTTTACACAATCATGATAGCTTTAAAGATATTTACTTAATCACGACAGCTTTTGAAGTTATTTTGCAGTGATAACAGTGTGGGGCTACTGTTTGTATGGATGGCAGCCTTGTTCTGAGCATATCATGATGGAAAGCTGGGACTCCCTCAAAGCCAATGCTGCACTTCATACATTCAGGATGATGTATGGGGTGATGTATAGGGTGGGAGACCTGTCTGCGATACAAATTGGGACAGCTTCAGGCTACTTAAATTCCTTTGCTTTTAATCAATATTCTAGAAAGCAACATAACATAGGTTATGCATAGGTTCCTGCATAGGAAACAGAAAGTTTCTTCTGGTCTGATTCCTACAAGCAATGACCTTCTTGTACTTGTAATACCGTCCTGCTTGCTATTCCCAGACTACACAGCTGCATTCCCTAGTCATCCTTCACTAGGAGCTTTTACAATAAAAATTACTTTAAATAAGTTTATTGAATGTAGTTTGATAACCAGATTTAAAAAATGCTATTTAGGCATGACTCACGCTAAACCAAAAGAGCCTGAAATGGGATCCAGGGGAGCTCTCCCGGGATGCCCTTCCAATGTAGCCTCTGATAGCCACACGGGCAATGGGACATTATTCCATATAAAGGCAATTACACTCAACCAGACCAAAATGAGGGGTTTTATTAGCTTGATAATGGTGTAGATAAATATTGTTTGTTTCTATTGAAGTAGTGTGTGAACATGTACCAAGGCCTGTGAGGAGGCCTTTATGGGGCCGAGGACGCCCTGTGCGTGTGACGCTCACACCAGTGCCACCAGCTCGCTTGCTGGTCACATTGTTTCCACAAGGATTTTTCTTTTTAATTGTTTGACTTGATGCCACCCTGACCCATGATGTCACCATATGAAACCTTCCCTGTCTCCCAGTCACGTAAAAACATGTTTCCATGTCTCACCACGGCAGACTTTAGGTGAGGCCATTAACTTTGGGATGATTTTCAAACTCATTGGAAAAACTATCTGAAATCTGTTTAAGGTTCTGTCAATTTTTTTTTTCATCTTTCTGTAAAGTGGAATAAAGCCATGCTCAAAGCTACTTGGAAAATATTATTCCTAGGGCCTTTCTCCAGCCCAATCAACTCCCTTCTGATTTGAGGGATCTGCAGGGCCATGAACAGCTCAAAAGAAGGAGTGGGCAGGAGGGGCAGGCCGTGCTGATCCCGCTGATGCTGCCTGAGGGACATGGGGACCTGCCCATGGGATCACCCCCAGCGCGGTGGGCTTGAAAATGAGCCCACAGTTAATGGCCTCTCCAGAGGGCTGCCTGCCCCAGCGGCCGTTGGGACCGTTGCGACCGTTGGGGCCCCTGGGAGACCTGAAGTGTTTCCTTGGTAACGCGAGCGCCCACCCTCACACCTGCCTCCCCGCCCGCCCCGCCTGGCCCCGCCCCTGTGCCTCCAGCGCTGCGATTGGCTGCGTTCGGAGCCGCCGTTCGACCAGTGAACGACCGCTTTGTTAGCGAGCCGCGCTCGGGGCGGAGGTTGCCGTGGAGACGCCGGGCGAGGCGCGTCCCGGGGCCGCCGCCGGTCGCGGGCGCCTCTCGCTGCGGAGCGGCCGGGGGAGCCCCGCGCCCCGCGCGTCCGGCCGGGCGCTGCCGCGGCCCTGCCGGCCCGGCCTCGCCTGCGCCCGCCGGCCCGGGGTAGCTGCTGCCGGGGGAGGCCGCGGGCAGCCCCGTGCGCCCCTGGGCTGTAGCTGTGCCCTCGGTCCCCGCTGTGGCCCTTCGGTAAGAATGGCCTCTGCTCCGGTGCAGCGAAGGTGGCTTTTCGAGGGCGAATGAGAGAGTGAAAACAAGCCCCTTTAAAGGAAGAGTGCGCCTGGGGGATACAGGTCCCGAGCACAGCAGCAGCAACAGCAGAAGTGATGAAAGCCCAAACCTCTCCCCCTGTTTCAGGCCCTGAAGTTGGCAACAGTTTGTAAGCTGTGAATAGCAAGGGAACACACACCAGTTCTCATTTCTCACTCTCAATTTCTGATCATGTTTTAAACTTTTAGGGGGAGAAAAAAAGATGTATTTTAAAGTCAAAGGCTTTAATAAGCCCTCTGATGATATGCACACCTGTAAAAGCCACAGATTAATAGTTAAGACTCTTATAACTGAAATCCTACAGACCAATTTGTAATACTTTAATATACATTCTTTATTTTTGACCACCCAAATGATACAGCTGTGTTGTTATAAAAGGGTTTAAAGTGGCATTAAAGTTTATTCTCAGATACTTACACTAATGTTACTCTCCTCCAAAGTTCAGGTTGCAGCCACATACAGTGCTTTGGTTTTAAAAAGTAAAAACAGACCCAAACAACCCTCCACCTGTCTGAAATGCTACAATAAAAGCCGTATGGAGGTTACAGCTGTGTCCTGTTGTTCAGCAGATTTAGCCTGTTCTATTTGGCTTTGTTCTCCCAACTTGTGACCCCCAGAGAGAAAAGCTGCTAAATGTTTGTTGCAAACTTCCTGCTTAAGCAAAAACGAGAATTAAAGTCGTTGTTTCTTTAAAGTTTCCTTGGCAATTAGCAATAGCAATTCAGTAATGTAAGTAAACTATGATTTACACTCCTTAACACCCCACGAGGCTTAGAGTTTTGAAAGCTGTGCTGAAGTATTGAATATGCTTGATATTTTCTCTGGCTTAAAACTAATTTGAATGTTGTTGTCAGTTCTTAAGTGGTAGGACACTTTATGTCTTGCAGAGCTGTAGAGGATATGACTGCCAGTTACATTGATGTTGATTAAAGTTGCTCAGCCTGTCTATTATTTTTGAATATTTGAATTCTTTATGAACAGAATAAATATTCTAATTCCATTTGTTTTTCAGATCTGTTCATATTTAGCACTTCTTCCTGCTCCTGGAGAGCGACCGTTAAAATGGCTCTGAATATGGTAAGGGGATATTCCAGCTCAAGGGTTTTATTAGATGTTTTGATAAAAAGAAAACCAGAAACTTTCTCCTACCCCAAGACTAAGATTAAACTGACATAGTAAGAGTTATTGTAAGTATGGATAAATTGAGGAATTTGCAGAATCTCCTTGTAGTGCTTATTTGCATTCTAAGGAAGCTCTTGCTTGAAAGATGCTTGAAATTTTAAGCTTGGTTTTTCAGCTGATTTTTGAAAAAAATGCAGTTTTGTCATATGATCATTTGCAATTAATGATGCTTGAATTCATTGCTGTTCTTGTAACAGCATGTGCGGTATTAGAGATTTCACAATATTGCAAAGTAAATTAAAAATAAGAAAATCCATGTTTTTCAAGAGAACTGAGATACATGTAGATTTAATGTTCCTTGCCATGTCTTGATTACTGTTCTAGATGCGAATTGCAGCACTGAATGCAAGCTCCACAATTGAGGATGACTATGAAGATAACTTCAAAAGTCATAAGACACAGACAAAAGAAGCTCAAGTAAGGAAACTGACCATTTTCTTATTGGACATATCTGATATGAATTCTATGCTCCTTTAATCTGTATTTCCAGGCATTTATTCATGTTTTCTGCTTAAGAAAAGTCTGTTAATATCTCTTGAAGTTTTCCCTTAGCATGCTAAAACTTCACTGAAATGGGCAGTATTGAGTTATTAAGGTTAATTCTCTGCAATACTAATAAAAACTTATCGTACTACAGTGCTTTCAGTATAGATAAAAGGGAACTGGTGTGTTGGACTTGAATCTTCAGTCTGTTCTGTGGTGTGGGGTACCAGTTATGCTAATGTTAAGGGTATGCTACAGATCTGTAGCAGTATCAACATACTGCAGAATGTTTTGGCTGCTGGACAGGCTGAGCAGTGAGGTAGAACAAAGGAAATATCTTTTTTTAATCACATGGATCTCCATTTTTTGGTGCAGGCAGCCATCAGGATGCTGAATAGATGCAGGTGGGGTTTAGACTTTTGTTTTAAATCCTTTTTTGTCTAAGAATTGGATCTTAGAGGTTGATCACAAAGGGAGATGAAAACTTCCATTTTGGTGAGCACAGTGGGGTTTGTCTCTTTGGTTGCCTGTCAGCTTCATTAAACTCACAGAAACATGGTATCTTTTAGAACTCTCTGCCTTTGTCAAGCTAAACTTAATGCAAAGTTCCAAAACTCTTTGTGAGGGGACTGGTAAATAACAGCACTGCTGTTTTTCCAGAAGTCCTCCCAAAACCCCATGAAATAAATGCAAAACCGATCCAATCTTGTTTTAAACCCAGGAAGCAGAAGCTTTTGCTCTGTACCATAAAGCTTTGGACCTCCAGAAACACGACCGTTTTGAAGAATCAGCTAAAGCTTATCATGAACTTCTAGAGATTCGTCTTCTGCGAGAGGTTGGTAAAATTTAGAGAATGAAAATAAAAAGAAACTGTTTATATATATATTTTACTGGTTAACTAGAAATGTCAGTGTAATTGACAGGTTATTTGCTGCCTTTTTTTTTTTCTATCTTTTTTCTTCTCCAAACTAGTTCCTAGGTTGTGTTTTTTTTTCGTTTCTAGGCAGTTCTTCCTGGTGATGAGAAAGAAGGGCTGAAGCATCCAGGCTTGATGTTAAAATATTCCACTTACAAAAACCTAGCACAGCTGGCAGCCCAACGGGATGACTTGGAGACAGCCATGGAGTTTTATTTGGAGGTACAGTTGAAATAAGAGTGGTGCCTCAGTACTTACAAAAACTGAACCAAATACAGAGGTACTCCATCCAGCATACTCCATATTTGTGTGAATTCTTAGTACTTCTAGACATTATATGTCATAACTTGCCCACCATTCAGTCCCCATGCCATTACTGGTCCCGTTGAAGAACAAAGCAATGCTAATCCCCACGGACAAGCACGTCTTAAATGCAAATAATATTATATTTGTTATGCCTTCTAGGCTGTAATGCTGGACTCTACTGATGTCAACCTGTGGTATAAAATTGGCCGCGTAGCAATAAAACTAGTCCGCCTGCCTTTGGCTCGTCATGCCTTTGAAGAAGGTCTCCGATGTAACCCTGACCACTGGCCTTGTCTAGATAACCTTATCACGGTCTTGTACACCCTTAGTGACTATACGAGTAAGTATATTTGCATTTCCTTAAGTTCATCAGAGCTGATCACAAATGGTGAATTAAAGAAAGGAGAAAAGGAAAGAAAACTGTTAGACTTCTGTGTTCAGTCAGGAGTCAAGTAGATGAATATCACTAAAGAATACATTGCTGTTGGAAAATGCTTGAAATGGACTTCAAATCATATTGTCATAGATGAAATAAAAATTGAAATTATTTGAACTTTTACTCTATAGTCTGTCCATGTTGTTAGATCTTCCATAAATTGTTTCGTATTATAGGGCCTGACCCTGAGCTCTCCAAAATCTTAGAAGGTTGTATTTCACCTTAGAGCTTTTGGGACCTGGTCCTACATAGCCAGAACTGATCAACATAGAGTGTTTTAGTTCATCAAAGAAACAAACTGTTTACAGACAACATTGAAATGTAACTTAGCTTTTATTGCAGAAAGGATGCAAAATTTCTGGAGATGTATGTCGCTCTGGAAGCTGCAGGAAAAATCAGGAGCTGGGAGGTCTTGAATTCATTATTCAACAGAATAGTGACAGCTTCTCTTCCTTTTTTGTTACCACCATTGGTCTATAGAAATACTATATTTAACTGGTGTTTAGTGGTTTATATTAAACCCCCAATTCAATGGGAGCTTTTGAATGAGCCAACGTGACAGATTGACGATTACATTTTTATTTCCCTGTCAGCATGCCTGTACTTTATCTGCAAAGCTCTGGAAAAGGATTGTCTGTACAGCAAAGGGCTGGTTCTGAAGGAGAGGATCTTTGAGGAGCAGCCATGCCTCCGGAAAGATTCCCTGAGGATGTTTCTCAAATGGTGAATCCTATAGTCTATACAGTATTTGTGGTGTGGGAAGAGCTGGTGATAGGGAGTTCTTTAAGCTGAAAGAATATGCTACTGGCAGAATGTTCTGCAATAGTTGCTGGGGGTAGGGAGGATTCATGTAAAGGGAAGAAATTCTGTTTGCTGTTACTGACTATATCATTTTTAATCCCTCTTACTTTGTTTCATTTTATTTATGCATTTGTAGCCGGTATCTAAAGCATTCACATCCTTATCTGTTTTGTTAGAGCTGCTTCTCTTCCTAAATAAAATAAAAAAAGAACAAACAAGCAAACAAAAGCCCCCAAAACAAAAAACAACTTTTATGTGATAAAGTGAAATTGCTCAGAGTTACACCTTGAAATGAAAGGAATTTTTCAGCCATATATATTTTTTGATGAACCAAAACTTTGAGCTATCAATGTTCAAAAAGAAAAGCAAAGCATCCTAGAGAGTCTCTATTTCCCTTTTAGTTTTTTTGGGAAGAAAGATTCCTCATGAGGAGCCTTTCCATATGCTTGCTGTAAAACTGGTAAAAATGTTCTTTGAATGCTAGTTCCAACACTGTTTATTTTTGCTACACTGTAGGAGAATCACAAATGGTTATCTCCTGCTTCAAAAAGATTTAACTTGTCTTCATTTCTTGTTATTTCTTAGTGACATGTCTATTCATAATGTAAATGTGAATGCAGCTGAAACGGGAAGGATCATGGATGAAGCGCTGGAGCTACGTAAGAAGAGACAGGCTTTGCTCGTGCGAGAGAGAGAACCAGACCTCAAGCTTGTCCAGCCAATTCCCTTCTTGACGTAGGTCTTCCTGTTTTCTTTTTGCCACTGTTTTTTTTTTTTAATGAAGCCACTTAGGCTGACCACTGTGGTTTACCTCAAATTTCTTTAGAATATATATAATATATATATATATTTTTTTTTTTAAGTTTTCATATTTTATTCATCTGTTGGCTGTTTTCTTCTGCTTGTACTTTTAATGTAAATCCCCTATCTATCAATTTAACATTTTGAATGAAAACTGCAGTGGAAGTAAGAAAAATTTAAGTATAATTTGGTAGCCATTCCATGATTTGGCAGCTGCTGCAGCCATAGCGTTGGAACTTACCTATGTTGCTAATTTGTGCAATTCAAAGTAAGTTTTGCTTTTTTTAAAATGTTCTTACCATATGGAGAAATGGATACTTTGAAATAAATTACAATTCTTCATTTGCAGTAACATATTTTAAAATTGTTTAATACCTCTCTATTAAGTTAGAAAGTCTTTGTTTTTATTGCACATATCTGCCTTGCAAAATACATTAGTACTCAAGCAGGTTTTAGTGAAGTTGCTTCTAATTGTAGCTGAGATTGAGATCATTTGTTGATTAAATACAGAACCTGAAAACCTTTTTTTCTACTATTTTTTGATATGCAGTCACTATTGAGGAAATTATATATTCTTGTTGTTTGATGCTTTTTTGAGATAAAGCACATGCCCTGTCTCTTCTTCCTTCCTATTGTAACTCATTTTCCTGTTTTGTTTGGAAACTTTATTGCCCTTTCTTACTCCTTGTTAAGTGGTATATCCTAGAAAGGAAGCCAGTAAGAATCTCTGTTCCAGGTCTGACATTTGATGTATATTGTATATATGATGTATATTCCTGTCACATCAATAATCTATTTTTCCCTACACCTTACAGTTGAAGTGTAATGTTGAATGCTTTCAGGTTTGTAAAAATAATATAAAAAATATGACAAAATTAATGAAATGATGTCATTATGTTTTCATACACAGATGGAAGTGTTTAGGAGAAACTTTACTTGCCATGTACCACCACCTCACAACTTGTGACCCTCCTCGACCTAGTCTTGGAAAGAGAATTGACCTCTCAGAATATCGAGACCCAGTTCAACAACTGATTCTTTCTCCTACCTCTGCTCCTGTCAGTGTTATTCAGCCAACCCCTGTCAACACTAATCCAGTGGTGACAATGCCAGATCCTGTATTAAATTATACTCCAGTGACCCCCAATTTTCCAAGTCAGAATCAGAATTTATTGGAATCAGGAGCTACTGTTGGTGAACAAGGTACAGCAGCCTGAGGTTCTCACATCTCATCATAAAAAAAGCATGAAAAAGCACTACAGAATGTATTAGGAAATGCTGACTTTAAACTACTACTTGGTAGATTTAAAATCTTCAGTGTATGTATAGGACGTAGTAGAAAAAGGACAATTGAGTCCTATGAAGCTATGCTGTCTGTCTAACCATTCACATTAGAAAAGTGAAAGCCACCTACACTGCCTGAAAAAAAAATCACTGGTTAGTAACTCTGCTATACGACCAATATTCATTATTTTTCTGTCTAATGGCTTTGGGAGTAGGGGGTTATTTATTTGTGGGTGTGTGTCAGGGTGAGGGAGTTGGTTGTTTTTAATTGTGCATGAGTATTTAATAGTTTCTGGCTTTGTGCTATTGACTCATGCTTCATGCTTGAGTTTTATCATCTTTAAGATTAAATCTCATTTCCAGCAGTGATTTATTTCAATTTTCAATTTTGTTGAGTTTACCTTGGCTCTAGGAAGGAAATTATAAGAAGTAAAGGTTATCCACTGTTTTGTTTGACATTTTGACCTGTGAGTTTTTTCTATTTTATTCTTTTATTAGGTGATACATCGGCTGCTGATAAGTCTAAGAAAGGGGTGAAGCGAAAGAGAATTATGGAAGAAAGCGGTGAAACAGCAAAAAGGAGATCTGCGAGAGTCCGTAATACCAAATGTAAAAAAGAGGAGAAGGTTGATTTTCAAGAACTGTTGGTCAAATTCCTTCCTTCCAGGTACACTGCTTGGTTGTATCATAAACTATATTTCATGTTCTGTTTTGTAGCAGCTTCTATGCACTTTTTTTGTGGACACACAACTTTATCTGGTTGAACTCATGTGAAGTTATTAAGAAAATATTCTTGTTAATGCTTTGTAAAATGCAGATTACTTCTATACAGCTAGCAAGTTGATTTCATGCAAAGTCATGAAATATATATAAAAAAATGAAAAATTTTAAAAAATATATATTTGAGAGAGAGGTCAAAAGGCTGAGATTGAATTTTTTTTGTTGTTGTTGTTTTTACAATTTTTTGCATTAATTGACATGCAGACTAAAAGCCAACCTTCTTTTGCATTGCAACTCTGTTTTTTGGGGGGTTTATTTGAAAAGAAAAAGTTAGCCTATATTTGCTTAAAAAAAAAAAAAAAAGAGAAAACATTGTAATCTGAAGTCATAGTCCCGTTTCCTTGCTTCAAACTTAATTATTCCAAGCATTGAAAGCAGGCGTGTCATTTTTGTTAATGTTTAGTTATAGAGCCTTAAGGTTCTGTAACATTGCTTTCTATGTTTATTTACTTAGACATCTTGTTTTAAATCTTTCTTGCCTTGATAAGATTTGGGAAGAAGATTTCAATCTCTGAAGGTGCTTCAATTACTGCTTTTTCATTGTTAAAATCTGCATAATGTGCCACATTTAGGTTTTGCTCTCTGTTGAAGGAAAGAATGAGGGTTTTACCAGGGTTATTTTTTGTTCCCCTTTCCCCCAGATTGAGGAAACTAGATCCAGAGGAGGAGGAGGATCCTTTCAATAACTATGAGGTGCAGTCAGAGATTAAAGAAGAGAATTTCCAGCATGTTGGACCACATAGATTGTCATTTGATTCAACAACATTTATGGAATCTGGTAGGAATTTCATTATAAATTTCCTTTTTTTGTTGGTTCATTCCTTTTCTATGCTTTATTTTCTGCATCTTCCTGTCTAATGCCCAGAAGATACAGAAGAATTATTATTCTAACAGATGTTCCCATTTGAACATAGTAGAATGTAGTGGCTTCATTCAGTAGTTATGCAACCCAGAAAAATTACCATGGCCTTTCCACAAGATTGGTGTATATCACTTGCTTTGAAACTAACTTGAATCAAGTCGTTTTCTGTCTTGACCTTAAACGCTTATTGTTTTGTATTGACCTGCTTTCCAGAGAAACAAGACGTTCACGAATTCCTGCTGGATAACCTGAACAATGGTGGGATTTTGGAGCTGATGATGAGATACCTAAAAGTAATTAGCCAAAAGTTCCTGGTAAAGTGGCCTCCTGGCTTATCTGAGGTGGTTCGTAGTATCTATAACAGCTGGAGAAAGCACAGTAATAGTCTTCCCAATCCTTTACTGAGAGACTCAAGTAATCAACATATAAAGGTAACACAGTATTCCTCCTTCTTACCTTTCTTTCCCTGAAACTGTATTGCGCCATGTGGGGGCAAAGTGCCTTTTCCTGAGCTCCTGTTTTTTCTGAATGGACCTGTAAACCTTACTCCTATGAATGTAATCAGAAAAGAGTGTATTCTTCACAAAACTTAGTAGAGATCTGTAGTGGCAGTTATTAATATGCTTTCGTAATTTTGCCCAACAAGTGTTAATATTCTAATAAAAGTAGAATACATATTCAGTCCCATGGACATAAATGCTGAAAAAATATTGGACTTAAGCTTCTTTCTTTTGATATGTCAGTGATTCTATCATATATCCTAGAAACATGTTTCTGGCCTGATTTAACATTTTAATATATTGAATAATGTACTAATATTGAGAGTACTTTTGGAAATTTAGCTAGAACTTAAGTTCATACATTTTTCCTCCAGGGTCATTCATGTGACACGCTGACATTTTTACTTCATTAGAATTTGGGAATACAGTCCAAGCTTATAAATCATATCTTTATTTCTACTTTTGTAGTTAATAAATCTGGCATGAAGTAGCACTACACCGTTAAAACTATCTTGCAATAAATGTTCACAATGTGTTAGAATAGGACAACCAATTATTCTTAACACTAAAGTATGGGGCAGCATGTGTTCTTTTGCCAACAGTTACTGGCTGTTTTTGGTAAAAAGTTCCTATCTTTTCCCATCTTCCCAACATATTATATCCACTTAGTGATGATCACGCTAGGCATGGGTACCTGCAATGCTTGTTTGATGAAAAATTGTTTCTTAGCTTGGATAAGATGTCCAAGATTAAAAGATTCTCATGGTCACCCCCAGGTCACGTTCCCGTGGTGGATATTTCCTGTGGTGAGAAAGGGATGTGCTCTGAAGTCAGCCTTGCAGTTGTGTTTCTCTGGCCAAGTGAGAGTTTGTTAAAGTAGCCTTAAAGAATATTTCAGTGGAAATATTCTATCTGAATAATATTTCAATTTGGTACAATAATGAGGATGTCACTTTTTTTCCAAGTTTGGGCATTTCTTTGATTATATTCTTTTATGGTATTTTTCTGAGATGTTTCATTACTCCTTTTCAGTGTTGTTGCTTTTAAAAGCAGTTATACATTTTTCTTCGGACAGAGGTAAAGATAGCTACACCTTAGTACAGAAATCATATGATGACAATTTGGAAGGTCCGCTTTCACATAAATTGCAAATTCAATTTATTTGTTTTTCTTTATTTCTGTAGTCTATTTCTTGATATATCTATGTGTTTATCTTTTTATTTATTTTTCTTTTCTTTCAGGATATGATGCTGATGAGCCTTTCTTGCATGGAATTGCAACTAGATCAGTGGCTACTGACCAAAGGCAAGAGCTCTACAGGTGGGAATCATATATTTCTTGCATCAGATTCTAAGAATAATTTAGATAAGAGGTTTATTTTTTTTCCCTAGGGATTCATTAGCTTTCAGAACCTTATTTTTTTAAAATACAGATCTGAAACGATGCTCATCTTTTTGTTTATGAATGTTTGCATTAAAAGAAGATCAGTACTTTTGAAATACTGGTGTGTGGAAGATTCTTCATGTTAGTAACTTTATGATAAAGCATAATTTACTGATTTGCAGTTTCTCCACGAAATTGCCCTGCTGCCTCTATGAATGGAAAATTTGGTCCTGACTTCCCAGGAACTCATTTCTTGGGAGACCTGTTGCAATTGTCATTTGCATCCTCGCAGCGAGATCTGTTTGAGGAAGGATGGATGGAATTTGTGACTCGAGTATATTGGCTCAAAGCTCGCTTCCTAGCACTGCAGGTTGGTTTTCCTTTTGAATTTAACTCATAACAACTTTCACAGCAGTTAAGACCAAAGCTGCTCAAGGATGCAGTACAGGAATCTCACCTCTTTTAAATACAAGAATAAAATCAATTTGGAACATACTGGTATCATCTTACTACTTGGTATAACAATTTTTCCGGAAGAACAGAGGTGGGAGTAGAGTAGGAATTCTCATGTACTAAACTTCATGTGCTTACAGAAATATATTTGGACCAAAGTGTTTTTCTATACTCTTTCTATAGGGTGACATGGAACAGGCACTTGAAAATTATGATATTTGTACTGAAATGCTGCAGAATGCCACTGCAATGCAAGCCAAAGCTGGTGATGCGGGCAGCATCGTAATCCGGTTACCTAATCTGCATGTTGATTCTCTTGTCTCTTTAGAAGAGGTAAGCCTTAATTTGTAGGTGTATCCTTCTCATTCCATCCCAAGCCAGTCTCAAAGGTCATCAATGCAGTATGCCTTTGGGGAAGGGAATTTACTGTACTTAATTATTCTAAGAGTAAAAAGACAGATTCATAGTTAAATGAGGACACTTTCAGAAATATGCTTTTTGGATCTGTTGGTTCTGTACAACTTCAGGTTGTTTTCATGTAAAAGGAAAAACATTTATCTTTTTTTATCTATTTTATTAAATCTTCTGTATATAGAACAGTAGGTTGTTATATTAACATTGCAGACTGTTCTTAAACTTCTATTTCACCATTGCTTAAATGAGCAGTAGTCAATGTTCTCTACGTAAAAAATGCATATGCTTTCAAGGAAAGGAATTTCCCCCTTCCATTCTTTTCCTGGTGTTGCACAGGTCATGCTACCTTCGTTTCAAAGTCCTTCTAATGAGTTTTCTTGCACTGAAAAAATGTGTGATCTGGCTTTCGTTTCAGAGGGAGGATAATTGAGTTTAAAGTTGTTATGACATTGCTCGTATATAAAAACTAAAATGTAATAATTAAAAATCTGTGAGATGTGTTATATAGTTGTTTTTTTTTCCCTAGACTGATTGTAGTTATAGAGCTCAAATACCTTTACAGCTAAACTGCCAGGAGAAACATCAGTAGTCCAAATGCATGTGAAATTGAAATGAGTGTTTGATTGTGCCATCTGTGACATTTACAGATTGATAAGAACCTGAAGTCTCTGGAGAGGTGCCAGTCTCTGGAAGAAATCCAGCGACTGTATGAGTCAGGAGATTATAACGCAGTGGTGCATCTGCTTCGTCCAACATTGTGCTTTAATGGCTATGGCAGAGCTAAACATCTGGAATTTGTAACATCCATACCAGAGAGACCAGCACAGCTGCTGCTCCTGCAGGTTTGCTTTGCTGCTTAAAAAATGTCTTTTCAGTAAGGATGAAGATTTGCAGCTGTTTTATTCCTAAAAAGAGGAGGAAAGGGTTTGGAGAGTTGATGTTAATGGGTAATGAGTCTTATTTGCAAAACAAACCATGGAATCAAAGCTGTAAATAATCCAAACAGCATAGCTCTATTGGTGTCAATAGAATGGTCGTCAGCTGTATATACATGTGTGTGCACGTATATATAAAATAATGGTGTCACATATGCACACACACACACAATGACATCAATAGAACCAACTGATACAGTCAATATAACTATTTTACTGAGAATGTTGATATGGAATAAGATACTGGAGGCATATGTGAAATCAGCAAAAAGGTCATCATTTCTAATAAATTTGAATCCTTTGAAGAAGCATCTTATGGAATCTTACTTAATCCATCAGAAAAATACGATGATGATATTCTGGCAGGTACATCCATATAACATCCACTCTCATCCTTGTTTTTATGTGAAATTTAGAGGTGTTCGGTTATCCTTCCATTAAAGCAGCCATATTCATGTTATATAGTGCATTTCTTTGCATTTGTGGTTTGAAATGAATCCTTCTTCCTTGTAGTGGATTTTTCCTGTGTATCTTCCCTAGGAATCCCTGCTCAAACTGAAGGATTACAAACAGTGCTTTGAATGCTCCGAAGTGGCTTTGAATGAAGCAATTCAGCAGATGATTAACATGACAGCAGCCTCTGCTAAAGAAGAGTGGGTTGCTACAGTAACACAGCTGCTCACAGGGATAGATAGTGCCTTGTCCTCAGAAAGCAGCATCCTGGACGAGTCTTCCTTAACACCAAGCCTTGTTCGCCTGACAAACAACCTCATTCAGGTAGCCTGGTCACCTGCACTTGAATTACCATGGCTATCACTTGCAATGACTGTTTGTATGCGATTTTGGAGGGGAGGGAAGTGCATGTTACCTTCTTCATTGTAGTTTTCATTTCAATATGTTAGACACATATTGACCACATGGTCAGTAACAGTAGCTAACTCCAAACACTGACCTTGCAGGGTGTTTGCAATGGTGATGATGCAAGGGTTGATTCAGTTGGCTAGAGGTGATTTGTGGCACTGATCTGAGGCTGTATGTATTTTGGACTAGAAGAAAAAGTCCATCAGTCTTAAGCAAGAGCCTTTTCCTTGCCATGTTATAGATAAAGGTGTCTGTTTCCTTACTAGATCATAGACTGCAGTATGGCAGTCCAGGAAGAACCCAAAGAACCATACGTCTCCTCAGTGCTTCCATGGATTATCCTGCACAGGATCATCCAGCACGAGGAAGATGCATTTCGATCTCTTTGCTGCCAGCAGCAGAACCAAGAAGAAGAAGGTAATTGAATTATTCACATTTATATGTTAAGTTTTGTTCTTTGTCATCTACCTCTAGAATATGAATGAGAGGTTTCTTCTGGTTGTCTCTTTATCTTTTGCTAAATAAAGTGGTGGCTACTTGGATTTAACTTGGTTTCTGTATTACTTAATTATTTACCATCATCTTTCAGTGAGTCCTGACACCCCTATGCTACCTTCTTCTCTCATGCTGCTGAACACCGCTCATGAGTATTTGGGAAGAAGATCCTGGTGTTGCAACTCAGATGGAGCTCTTCTCAAGTTTTATGTAAGTATGACTATTATGGAATAATTTAGGTTGGAAAGAACCTCAGAAGGTCATCTATCCAATCTCCATATCTCAAAATACGACCAGCTTAGAAGTTGCTTATTACATTGTTAATGTCTGGATGTTAAAATATGTTGTTTTGTTTTTTAATTCTACTTTCTTCTTCCAGCTAAGCATACAAATATTTTGGTCAATTTAATTTGAGGCTTATTATTCCATATTCCTGTCCATCTCTATCTGTTCTATACCTGCCTTTTTGTAGTGATAGGAGATGCCCTGGCCTTCCATAACAAGCTTTATAGTATCATTTTTAAAATGGAAGATAGTAGAAGATCTATCTTGACTTGAAACAGTAAAACACTGGAAAAACATTAAGTGCTTTTTCTGAGTACTTAATAAAAATATAACCTTTTATTGGTCTGTGAACATGTTAAAATTTCAGTTGCATAATATAAGTCTTGCAGTGTTTAAATTTGTATTGTATATTCTTCTCTGTGGTAAGGTCAAAAAATTGCTTTCTTGTTATAACTAAGATCAGAAAATACTTGCAGTAGTTTTTGATCTGCAAGAGGTAATAACCGAATATGGATCTATGTGCAGCTTTATCTCCCGCTGTGTTTGGCTGGTCAGCAAGATCCTACCCTCTTTGCAGAAAAGGCTTACTATGATTTAGATTACAAATTTTATTTTGTATATCCAGATAATGGTTTGCTCAGAAGCAGGTCTAATTCTTAGCTGTTCTTTAAGGTCTTGGTTTTGCTCTGAGGAAGTTGAATGCACACCCTGATCCTACTAGCTAAACAGAAGGAAGCATGAATGATGTCAGGAAAAATAAGAAACAGAACCAAAGATCCATTTGCTCTGCCTGCTTCTGAAATGTGTGCCTGTGTGCATGGAACATTCTTCCCACTCCAGTCTTCAGCAGTGACCATGGTTCCTATGCCCTGAGCAGGAAACAATGCAGGCAGGAAGGATAAATACCTACTATTCCCTCCTCAGAGTTGAAATGTTTGATAAAGGTTTGGCAGTTAAAAGAATAACCCCTCAGTGGCATTAGACACTAAATTCTACTCAGTGAGGTGCAGGTGAGGCAGACATGACAAGATGGTGCAAAGCCTTGTTTCTTCTTCTCTCCTGTTAATCTGTTCAGATATGCTTTTCTTTTTTCCCTTGTCCAATGATAGAAAGATAAAGAGCATTTCAAGTAACAGACTAAGGAGGAAAGGGAATAGAAATGCTCAATGCAATATAATTGTTTCTGTGGAGTTACCTCAGTGAGAAGAGTGATTGTTTCCTTGGCTCTTCAGCTGTTGATATATTTAGTTTATTTGATTATATCCGGGTTGATTCTAATTTGCAGACTGGCGAAAAAAAAAAAAGTAACATTATTGTTCTCATGTTATTAACTGAATATAATTTTGAGCATACAACTAGAGCTGTTCTACTGAGTAAAATAGAGAACCAGTGATTCTGTAATCATTGGTTGATCGGGAGCAGACAGCTTTGTATGCACATCCGTCCTCCTTTGCTTTGTGCCTGAAGCCTCCTCTTTGCTTCCTTGCTCTTTTGTGATTCAGGTGAGTGTGTTAGAGGTCTAATATGCTTGGGAAATGATGCCCAGGCAGTCAGGCCATGACATTACTAGCTGCAGGAGTGTAACCTACTCACTGTCATCTTTTTTATAATTATTCCTTAAGGTTAATTACTGCGCCGGTGAAGAATCTTCCCCTGGTCGAAGCAGAATTTTTGTGTGTTGCTGTTTCCTCCTGCTTTCCTTGGCTTGAGAAATTGAATTACTGTCAGCTTTTCGCTCTGGAGCAGTGGGAGTCTGGGATGCCCTGACTGCCAGTGAAACCCAGATGATGCAGAGCTGTGGCATTCGTGGAGTGCTGCTCTATGGGGATATTTCAGTGGCACTTCACAGATTCAGCTTGACTTCATTGAGGTTTATTACCATCAGCTGAGAGGAAATCATGATTAGTTCTGCATAGAGCTACTCAGGAATCTCTTCATTTTGCTTCTCAGCACTCCCTGGAGCTTGTTAGGCACAGCTCAGTGCCAGAGCCCATCTACCTCTGCATTTGAGCAGCAATGTGTCCAGGTCAGTAATTTAGACAGCCAGGAAGGATGGTGTGGAGAGCCTGAGGGCTTCTGTGAGAGTCATCTCTCTCTGGCAGGGCTGGAGCTAATGAACAGAGTCGAGCTGAAGCTGCTGCACTGTGATCTATTAGATTACTTCTGCATCCGGCTCGCCTCACTCTTCTGAGTACTGGGAACATAATTCTGATACACCAGGGGTGCCTTTGCATGGAGCTGCCTTGGGTCCAGAGAGCTTATTAAAGCTCAGGCGCTGCATTTCATGAAAAAAAATAAGCTATATCCAGTCTCAGATGTCTCTAGTAAAGAGATGTAGTAAAGAAGCATCTTATGAGCAGTGCTGCTCAGTGCTGAATTTAAATTGTCTCTGCATGGTGTGCACCCGTGTCTGGTGAATCTGATCATACATTCTGTGAACCTGGAGAAGTTGCAGCTAATTAAAAGCTGAATATATTTGTAGCTAGATCTTTGCAGATGTTGTTGTGCACTTTGAAAGAAATCTTTGATTTTTTCAATTGTAGAACTTACCACTTCCTAAACTGAAATATAATTGGACATTATTTATCACAAGCAACTAGTTTTTAAAGACGAAAGGATTCTGGAAGAGTGAGGAAAGGCAAAAATGGGATGAAGTATTTAAAGAGAGAGAGGGCTTCACGTGTGCTACATGCTTCTGTTTCATGGATTATCCTTGCAGTAAGAGGTGTTTGCCTGCTATCAGTGAACTGTCTGCTTGAATACATTGATTTTAGCTGAAGAAGATGGTGTTAATGAAAGATGTTAGTGTACAGTTAACTCCTTTAGCAGTAGTCAGGGTCTGAATTATTGAAAACAGTTTTAGCTTACTGCTAGGAATTCAAAGGCTGAGTAGGAGCACTGGAGGTTGTTAGGAATGCTGTTCAGGTAATAATTCTGTCACTAGTGCTGAAGTGATTTTTTTGTTTGCAGCTGTACAATGCTTTTGTTGTTGTTTTTGGTGATGTTTGCATCTTTCTTTCAGCATACTTATCTATACTTCACATTTCTTAAATTTCAAACCTGTTCAGAGATTCAGGGAAAGCTGTGGTGCCTGCTGTGACTCATTTGTGATTGCTGTGACTCAAAATTTCATTGCAGTGCCTTCTAAGAATTGTGTTTTACTGCACTTATTTTTCTTTTTGTCTCTTTAAAATCTTTACGCATAAAAGAATATCTTGGTATTATTTCCTAGCGTTTGTGGATGAGTTCCTTGTATTCAGAATGACAGACTTCTGTGTTATGATGATCCTGTTACAATGCCAGGAAAACCAGGCATGAGGAGCCTCTTGTAGCATGTATTGTCTGTTCAAATGACTGGGTTGTAATCCTAGTGCATGCTGAAAAATGGTAAGTGATGATAGGCAACTGAAGTATTTTAAAAGTATTATGATGATAGTCCCTTATACGAATCACAAATGACTGGAAGTAGAAAAGGAAATGTGAGAAATTTTGAATGACCTGAAGCTTGAAACATTGAGTTCATGACTTAACAGGGAAAAAGGGGCATTTTGTTGCAGTTGCTGCACCATTTAAATGATTTGTTAGGTGATTGATTTACTAATATATGGCGAATATTTGGTTTATTAAGAAAAAACATGTACAGATCCTTATGATGTTGTCATCTACATCTAGATAACGGGGTAAGTTTCAGATGTCAGATGATTTGTTCATTAATATTTGTGATATTCTAGGTTCAGGTATTAGAAAAAGAACTTGCAGCATCTACTTCTGAAGACACCCATCCATACAAAGAGGAGCTGGAAACAGCCTTGGAACAGTGTTTTTATTGCTTATATGGTTTCCCTAGCAAAAAAAGCAAAGCAAGGTACCTGGAGGAACATTCAGTACAGCAGGTGAGATATGTGTTGTTTAATGTTGGGGAGGTATCCTGAAATGATGAACCTTGTTTGGTTTTAATCCATTTTGAAATGATTTATGACAAAGATTAAAATTTTATTTTCTCAAAAATGTTTTGGAAAATGTTGTGGAAAGTAAATACACTCTTGGGGACTTTCTTAAAAACATGAAAAACTTTATGCATATAGAGGGGTGAGATGCCTTAAGAGAAATGTTAGTACAGTCTTATTCACAACAGTCTGCCATGTTGAAAGTATTGACAAAATGATCTTAATGAGCCATGACTTTCCTGTTTTCAACAGAGAACTTTGCGCTCGAGAACAATAGAGAGGAAAATGTCAGCTTGAGAGAAGAACTTTAGCAGCCAGCCTTGCAGTTTATGAATATGAAAAAAGTCACTTTTTAAAATGATGCAAGTAAATGATACTCTAGCTTGTTTTGCAAACTCTATGATTATTTGGTAGCTGATTGTCACATATGCATGGAATTCAGTTCAGTTTGAGAGAACAACTACAGAATGTCCTGGAAAGAGGGTTGCAGTTTTAAGAGACAAAAAAGCAGGTCAACAATTCTCTGCCTGAAGCACAATTGATTTGTTAAAAACCTCAGATGATTTTGCATTTATCAAATGTAAGTGGCTACAGATCTATAAATCAATAAGATTTTTTTTCAATGAAAACAGTTATCTGGCTTTCTTGACAGGCCTTTTAAAATTCATTTAGTATTTGTGAATTTTTTCTTAAAACTTACTCTAGAAAATTAATAAAAACATAGGAATAGCTAAGGAAAAGAGAAATAGGAGATGAGTACCCATTGCCAGAAACAATCTTGTCCCATTGGACCTCTCTGGATTAAAAAGTCCATACTGAAATAGTTGATAAAATGATTGTGTTTAGTACCCTATGATTTCCATGTTTTCCTTAGAGAAACAGAATTTACTGGGAATGAAATGAAGAAAGAGAGGAGAGAAGGGAAAAAAAAAAAAACAAAAAAACCCAAACCTAAAACCTCAGTCTAGGAGACAGAAACTGTGAAAAAAATACTTTTATCAAAATGAAGAAAAATTAAAGGGAAAGGGGAAAAATGAGGAATGGTTTGAAGTGAAAGTGTATTCTTCAGAGTTTTAACACTCTGAGTATCAGGATTTTGTCTGGCAGCCTTTTAATTTATTTGTTTTGAGTTTGAAATTTAAGTTGCAGAGCCTGTGTAGCTTTTCCCTTCTTCCATTTCTTCCCACTTTCTTAGTGTCACTCAGGATGCTTGCAATTGCTTCTTGCCCATTTTTTCAGTAAGATTGACCAAACTACAGCCTAATGTCCTAGTCTTAAACCAGGGAGAAGTTAATGGAAGCAGCATACAGTGACAGTCATTTTAATTCTCTTTTTGTGAGGTTTAACTTGTTTCCTAATAAACTAGTATGTATTTTGTGCTAACTAAAATAGCCCCAAAACCTAACCTTTAGTCAACTTTTGAATTTGGGAATTTGAGATAATTTTTCCCTCTCGTTTTTTCCCTCTTCAGGTGGATTTAACATGGGAGGATGCCTTGTTTATGTTTGAATATTTTAAGCCTAAGACGCTTCCAGAGTTCGATAGTTACAAAACCAGCACGGTGTCTGCTGATCTGGCCAACCTTTTGAAGAAGACTGCGACGATTGTTCCCCGAACAGATAAACCTATGCTGAGCTTAGATACTGTCTCTGCCTATATTGAAGGAACGTGTAGCAAGGTATAACTAACTGTTGAAACAAATGTAAGGAGGAAAAGGATATTTGTTTTCATGTTGACTTTGAGTTTGTTTGGGGAGTGCTTCACCTTTGATGCTGGGTTTTCCTCAGTGAACTGCATTTAAGTGAAATAAGAATAATGCTGTCAAGGATGAGATGTTGATTAACATGGAGTTAATATGAGATGTTCATTAGTGTTAGCATGCTCTAACACTACGGAATATTTTTCACTCTCTAGATACTCAATAGCTTTATGTTTTTTGACAAACATCTATTTTCACTTCAAGAAAGAAGCAAGCGTGCAGCTCTTGTAATATGTATGCTTTATTAACCTTTATTTATGAATCTACTTATTTTTCAGGCCCCATCTCTCCCGGATGGCGCAGACTATTCTCCACCAGTAGTGACTGAGTTGTACTATCTTCTGGCAGACTATCATTTCAAGAATAAAGAACAATCTAAGGCCATTAAGTTTTACATGCACGACATTTGTATTTGTCCAAACAGGTCAGTATTGTTGAATTGCTGCGTGTTATTCATTCCTCTCACTTCTTTAATACTAAAAAAGCACAAGTTTATTTCCGTGTCAATAGTAAAAACTTAAGAAATCAACTATTTAGATTTATTCTTTTCTAATATTTATTTTGCTACTAGAGAACCACTCGGAATCAAGCCCAGCAGATGAGTGATGCTTAAAACTAACACTTTTTTTTTTCTTGCTAGTTTCTAGTTGATTGAAATACCACTGGAATTTAGGTTTTTTTTTTTATCTTAACAATGAAGTGTGCTTTGGGAAAGACACTTTTAGACTGAACTGCAGCAGTCTTAAAACCCTAGCTTGAATGGCTTGAGAAAGCCAAACTATTCCTGAGTTCAGGGACACAGCGGAGGCGAAAGGGAACATGAAGACCCAGAGCAATTTTACAGATGTAGTTTAATGTTATTGAATCTGCTTGCTTGAGAACTGCAATTAGATCACTAACATTTTTTAAGGCCTGATAAACTAGACAAAGCTTTATACAAATTGATAGGGTTTTTTAATCATTAAGCTTATAAATAAAAGATAGTGCAATGCAGATTGACTTTAATCTATGAAATTTTGTTGCTCAGAAGAAGCTTTATGTGAAAGCATAGTATTGTCACCCCAGTGATAGCCCATGATGCCGCTTCAGTTGTGTGTGTTACATGTCTCCTCCCATTCTCCTCAGGAATTTCTCTATCAAGGTCACTTGGCAAAGGATTATGCTTGTGGTTGAAATAAGCAAGCAAAAATGTGAAAATATTATGAATACCACAGTCCCTTTTGTGTGAGAATCATGGTATAATTGAAAAATTCCAGAGTCTCTGACCCCGAAACTTGAGATTACATAAAGTGGAAACTGCTCTTCAGCCTGTATTGTCAAGATCTAATAAACAAGGCTAGATGTTTATATTTCTCCTTAGAAAGCCATCTTTCTTGTTCATCAGAGTTTTCCTTTAGGGGTATATTTTGGTTTGTGTGATTTCTGTGTTGGAAACACTGATAATAAAAGTCATTTGCCTTTCAGTCCAGCACTATAGAATGTCATACTGGGCTACAAAAATAATAGGACGTTTGACCAGGACAGCATAGCTACTTAGAAAAGGAATCAACAGACATGCTGCTATTGGAAATATGGATATGCTGCTTTTGTATGACAAATAAATAAATGAAATTAGGTTTGCATATGTAATCAATATTGAGAGTAGGACTTTTTTCAGAAAACATTTTTAATAAAATCAGGCCAATTTAAGTTTGTACAGAGTCTTTCTTGCTGTGAGAAGAGGAGGAGATATAGAAATTGTGCGAAAGAGCATATGAAGAAGTAAATTGGAATACAGTAAAATGAATGTTGTCTTTGTCATTCAAGGTGATGTGTAGGGAGTGGTTCACATCTGACATTCTTGCTTATGTAGGTTTGATTCATGGGCTGGCATGGCTCTGGCTCGAGCAAGTCGTATTCAAGACAAATTGAACTCTAACGAACTGAAAAGTGATGGCCCCATCTGGAAGCACTCTACTCCTGTCCTGAACTGCTTCAAGCGAGCCTTGGAGATTGACAGCTCTAATCTCTCTCTGTGGATTGAATACGGCACCATTTCCTATGCCCTGCACTCATTTGCATCCCGACAGCTGAAGCAGTGGAAATCGGAACTTCCCCCTGAAGTTGTGCAGCAGGTGGGTGCTAATTTAGAGCAGACTTTTTAAGTTATATAAATTTATAAGCCAACAACTTTCGAAATTAAATACCTACGTTCTCTGCACTACATCTTAGATGATATATATACTAATTGATTATGGAAACTCTCATATTCATTTGTATAAGTTGATGTCAAAAAAGTTTTACTTTATTTTCTAGAAAAATCAGTTTAGCCTTGATGTTTGAATTACCTTTTACAGATTCTACAAAATTATGTAAACCTTTTGGATATGCACTTAGGCACTTTTAGGTGCAGGAGTGTATTCTTTTCTTGCAGCTTTTGTCTCAGCCAGAGCAAATAAATGTGTTTTTGGTGGTTTGTTCCATCACAGATGGAAGAGCGTCGAGACAGCATGTTGGAGACAGCCAAACTGTGTTTCACATCAGCATCTCGCTGCGAGGGAGATGGCGATGAAGAGGAGTGGCTGATTCACTACATGCTGGGAAAGATTGCAGAGAAGCAAAAGCAGCCTCCTGTTGTCTATCTACTTCATTACAAACAGGCTGGCCACTACCTGCATGAGGAAGCTGCACGATATCCAAAGAAGATCCACTACCATAATCCACCAGAACTTGCCATGGAGGCGCTGGAGGTAAAAGAGAAAGTAAAATACCTAGACTTGCAAGCATTGTTCTTTACAGATAACAATTCCAGTTCCTATTAGTCCTTGTTATTAGGCACATGTTCACGTGTTCACATCTGGGGACGTTTGCAAGATTAGTGCAGAATAGAATCAACTGTGTTATCCAGACTGCTGCCGTTTGCTGTGCTCAGTTCACTCATCAGCTTTCAGATCTGTGTGTGGACAGACTTCACCATTATCTCATCTCTCTGACAGCATAAGGTCAAGCATCGATTTGAATAATAGCTAGAAAACTTTTGCTTCCACTGTGCAGGCTGGTAAAAATAACATATTTGGAACCTGTCCAGTGGTAACCATCCACATCTGCTTTCACTGCTGTGTTTCAGAATTTGCAGGGCAGCTGTTCCAGATCTTCTCCTTTACAAGCAACTTAAAAAGGCAGGAAAAGTCCTGTTTAAGTAAGTTTAGGTAGCAGAGAATTATCTTTGCAAAGTCTTGCAGTTCCTACAGAGAAGGACAACTTGTAACTGGTTGCACAACTGATTGCACAAATTTCCTACTGACTGAACAGACTTTGGTGTTTTCTAGGTATTCTTTCGACTTCATGCTTCTATTTTGAAACTTGTTGGGAAACCAGACTCTGGAGTAGATGCAGAGATACTGGTTGGTTTCATGAAAGAGGCTTCTGAGGGACCTTTTGCCAGGGGCGAGGAGAAGAACACCCCAAAAGTTGCAGAAAAGTGAGTGCTGATTTCCAGGAACATCCTCTGAAAGCAAACTTGTTCCAAATAAGAGCAGGTTATTTATGTGAAATATCTCTCTAGACAGCTAAACTACAGTATAATAAATTTTTAAAATGAGGGTACATGAGATATCAACCAAGCAAAGTGATTAGAATTAACTCTAACGTAGATTCCAGGTATCATATACAATTAGATTATATGTGAATCGGAAGTCTTTTCAATAATTGGCACAGTGTAGGCAGCAAGGAAACCAATTGGAGCAACCATTATCTTATGATGTGTTTTGAAGCCACTGTCTTTATTAATAAAATTATTTTTTAGTATAGGCAGACATAGCTTAAGTAAGAGACTTCAGAATTTCAGCCCTTGTAATTTGCCTTGCTGAAAATTGTAAGATAAAGAATATTTCCATATTGATCAGTGATAAGGGAAAAAATTAACCTCTGGTAAAACCAAAACAAAACATCATTTAGAATTTTCTAATAAGATTTGAATACTGTATTGGAAATACTGATCATCTTAACTTTTCTTCCTCATTCCAGAGAAAAGACTTGCATGATTGATGAAGACTCTCGTTCTTCGGCTGGAACGGTGCCGGGGCCTGGAACTTCCCTCCCCTCCTCCTCCGGTCCAGGTCTGACATCCCCACCTTACACAGCCACTCCAGTTGACCACGATTACGTCAAATGTAAAAAACCCCGTCAGCAGGCAACGCCGGACGGTACAGTCCCTGTTCTCAATACTGGCAGCACAGGGAGGTGCTCTAATCATGGGGGGTTTGACCAGGAATGATCAAACTTGCTCATTGAAGGAGGGTGAGGGGTCTGTGGTAACACGGGCAATATTGAAGCTCATTATTTTTAAAAATTCACGGTGCTTTAAATAGAATCGATGCACAGTCAGAGCCTCAAATACAGAAATCAAAGTTGTCACCTGCCACCATTGACACCTGTCATTTAGTCTCAATGGGAATTTTGAGAGGAGTTTGCAGCTGACTGCATTTTCGATATTTCTCCCATCTCGAGAGCTAAATGGCTACCTCGAGTTTAGTAGAAAAGATGTAGATTTGGTCTTCAGAAAACTGGAGCAAATTTCAGTGCCTGCATGAACCAATCGGGTGCAAATTTGAACTTTGGCTGAGACAAGTCAAAACTGAAAAAGCAAAAGAAAATAGGATTATTCTTTTTTGAAGGAGGCAGGTGGCAACTATATTGAATATATCATGAATCAACATGAAGTGATTTGCATGGTAGTCCTGTAGATTTCATCTTTTAATTTTTTCTTTATCATTTACAGTGACTGGTTAGCAACTCATCTATATAGATTATAAAGTGTTAGCATAAATAATTGGCTTATAACGCCAGAAGGTAGGGCATTATCATGGTGTTACTGCAAGATTTTTGTACTATAATATACTTATATTAGAAATTATGTTACTGTTTAACCTGACACTATTTTTTGGCTAGAAATTTTATTCTGAGTCTACTCTTCTGGCAATTTATTTCTTCTATCTGGATGTTATATAGCACTCAGGAATAAGTAAATTAATTTGCAATATATAGCTTAGTGTTGAAAGAATATGGCAGGCCCTATAGAAGTGCTGTGTTTGAAACCAGCTTATTTCTCGAGGGAGGGCTGCTTCCAGGCCTGTTGTCATCTTTTTTGAAGAACAATATTCATAAGTATATTTTTACTGATGCAGTTTTGAAACCAACCCACACATGCCTGGAAACTCTGCAAGGTCAATTTGTTCCTTTTTCCCTAACAGGTAATTCTTGGGGGAACTTGCTAAAGTTCCTTCTGCCCATTCACTCCATTGTATATAGAGATACTCATTTTCTCCATGCTTGCATTTCAATCTGAAGTAATTCATTACACTGTTTTGATATCATATATAATTTAGTAATGTCATCATGTATAATTTATTAATGTGAATAAGTTACTTAGTGGTCAGGCTCTTCTATTATTTAGCCTTATGATGCCTTTTCAACAAGGCAAACAGAGAGAGAGCAGATATTTAACTATATTCTAAATAATGTGTCCTACGAGAAGCAGTTCTGCCTGAGACTACATCTGTTTCGGTCCTGCAGACTGATGGAGTGTTCCCAGGAGACAAATAAGTAGAGGGATGTTCAGGGATGTGCCATTAGTGCATTCTCTCCAAGCAAGGTGTTCTGGGCTGCAGCATCCTAATTGCCTGGTGGAGCAAAGCTGGCTGCTTAGCAAAGGCTGAAGGTGCAAGCTGAGGGACACGACCACCTGCCAGGCCCAAAGCAGCAGCTCTTGGGTCTCCTGGCTCAGCTGGTTAGCACGGCTGTCACAGCAACTGGAAACGGCAGCTGCCAAAGAAAGCCAGGTTGGGGTGATCTTTAGGCTGCCTGTGGGTAACTGTGACAAGTGGAATTGCAAAGCACTGTGTCAGTCATCGTGTCTGGCACGTTGCTCGCAAAACTGAACTCTGGATCCAGCACATTGAAGAGCCCCAGGAAACTGAAATATTTGCCTTAGGCTAGTGCAGATGGAAGCAGAGCTAACAGGCTGAGCAGCGCTCAGAAGTCTTCTACTTTTATATTATTACATATTCCCTGCTCCTTTGCATGCATTTGCATTTTACTTGTATTGAAAATATATACTTTTGAAGTAAAATGCTCTTGACATCTTACATGTAATCACATCACTGAAGAAGACTGCTGCCTGCTTTTCTATTTTATTATTCCTAAAAATAGCAAGAAAAAAAAAAATCCATCATTCAAATACTCTTTGGATTTTTTTTTTCCTTACTATTCTGACAGCAATTGAAAGTGTCTCTTTGTCTGTTCACAGACAAGACAGTTTGGCCCAAATTCAGCCTAGATACTTATTCTTACTATGGCCTGGTAAAAATACTCTTATTTGCTCATACTCTAGTATAAGTGTTGTTGATCATATGCAATATAAACAGAACAACAGAACTGCATAGACTATCCCTCCAAAACAAACAGTAGTTCAGCAGTGCCTGGGATCCCACTCAGCCAGGCTGCTGAAGAAGAAAAACAGAGTTGAACCCATGACCTGGAAGGACAGAGAGAGAAGATTATTCTAGGAATTAAAGGTTAGTCTAGAGAGGAAAAGTCTCAAGTGGAGGCGTGATAGCAGCATTCCCTAACCCGTGTCTAAGGCTGTATGAAGAGTTAAAAGGGAAGGAAAAGTAATCTGTGACTTTCCCTATCCATGAGGGACAGAACAGGAGGTAATAGGCTTAGACTGCGTTAAGAAAAATTCCATGTGGGGATTAGGAAAATAATATTAATTTTAGGAAACATTTAGCAAATACAAATGAAATGCTAAAATATGTTCTCAGGAGAGAGTACAATACTGGAACACCTCAACATTGGGAACACTTACTGATACAGCCATCAGCCGGGAATATCGGAGATGTATTTGGTCCTGTTGGGAAATGCAGAGAGCTAGATAAGCTTTTATTTATTTATTAAACAAAATCTCTGCCAGTGTGCCTTCCAGTGCAGCAAATTATTTCAGTACAAGCAGGGCAGAATTTACTGTAGAGCCGGGAAGGAACCAGTAAATACAGCTTGTAAAGGAACTAAACTTCTTTCTCCTCATGGCAGCTGTTAGCCCAAATCTCCTCCAAGGAGAGAGGAGTTTTGCTGAGTGGCAGCTGGTAGGTGCAGCTGACTAGCTGCTGTCATGTGTGTAAAATAGGCAGCAGCTTTTTTTCTTTTCTTGTCTCTCCATTCAGCAGCATCTTTTCCTCCCTTCTGTTATCCTGTCTTTCCTGGTGTCACCCCATCTGTTGCTGTTTTATAACCCACCCACGGTCCTCCCTGCCCCCACAATGTGCATTTAATAGTGGAAACCTGAGATTTAGACTATTAGTAGCCACCAAAAGCAAACTAGGAAATACAAGGGAAAGGGAACCACACCTACCCAGTCTGTCTGTACGTGGGTTATCCCCACATTTACCTTGCACAGCTAGATGGCCAGTGTTAGATATAAATACAGGCTTTCTCCTTGTCTTCCTTTACACATCCAGCCTGTTTATAGTCATCATAGAAAAAATCAGAGTACAGATTTCAAGCTGTTTAAGTTCAGCTAAATTTTGCACTAAATACTGAAGCTAGTGCAGAAAGCAAAAAAAGGCATTAAATCTGAAGAAGCATGACTTCTAAAAGGTGACTTGGGAGACTGCAGTGAGGTTTTTGTTTTGTTTTCTCTGTGTATGCCTTTTGTATTGATAATTGATTGCAAATTATTATGATGCCATGCAGTTGACATATGCAGGATGCATTGCTGCTGCAATATCGAAACGTCTTACGGTTTCAGTTTCCATCCATGTCATGTAGTGTGTTCCGTGTAGCTAGATGCAGTCATCCTATTTTTGTGTTTGTCTTTGCCTGATTGCTTTTGCAACCAATATTGCCCGTGCTGCCTCTAACCTTTACACAAATCTCTGTTCCCCAGGCATTCTCTTCCTGCTTTTACCTGTCACGGCTTGCTTTTAATAATTGGCAAAACCTGCATGATACCTCACTGGGAAAGGCTACTCGCTTCATGCTGTGGGAGACGCCCCACTTCATAGTTTGTTGTCCTGTAATTCTGCAAATGTTATAATGCTGCACTTTTTTGTGTGTGTGTGTGTGTGTCTGTAAATGGGTGTTCTCAACTTCCTGATGAGTCAATGATGATCTTTAAAACTCTTTTTGCACCAAGCTGTCACTCATGTCAAACTAAGTAAGCTTCAAAGATGGAGTGGATATTTCTGCGCATAAAAGGAATTATGTTTTGTAAAATAGAAGTTTTAACCCTTGATGTTCACTCACTTGTAGGTTAGAATTAAATCTTCGTGTCCACTGTACATGTGCCATTCTAGCCCATGGCACTGGATGCTCATTCTGTTTCAGTATGTTCCATTTTTGCTTTTCCCATTTAACTTGTCTCTAATTTTTATTTCATAATGAGTTTGAATGAAAAGGCAATACTGAAGTTTAGTATGAGGTTACACAAAAAGGATTTGACTAAAGAAGTGGAACAGTGGCTAACAACTCTATTGCTCTGCACTTGGAGATGCAAGAACACCAGTACAGGAGTGTAAGTTGCTGAAACCCATACAGGGATCTGTGCAGCTGGACAAAACAGGCTCTCATCTTTGACTCATTTGTATAAGGGAAGTTCCCTTATACATTGAGAGGACCCTGCTGTCCTCAGGATATTATCTGCTATGTGTTCTACAGACACATGTAGATTCATACATGTGCACACATGGCCTTTTCTAGCAAACTGCTCTGTCTTTATTTGCTCATTATTCTCTATTTGTGCATTTGAGTATTCTTACCTAAATGCACTGAGTTGGTTTGCTTGTGTCGTGTCCTGTTTCTGAAGACCATGTTTCCAGCTCATTGAGATCACTTTCAGTACTAATCTTTGCCCAATACTCTGACAGGTATTAATTAGATCTTCTGTTCTCCAGTCCCTGAAAACTTTCTCTGAGATGGTTGAAAAGTTACTGCTGAGGTGGGAGTTCAGTGGTATCCACCTGTACTACAGAATGTGATTAAATCTTTGTAAATGAGTCACTGGAAGTTTGGTTGACCTGTCTTCAGAATCCTCATTCTCTGTAATTCTCTAGTTGCTATAGAAAATTTGGCATCATTAACCAACCTAAAACTTTCAGTTAAGAACAAATTACTGTTCCCCCATTCTTTTTTTAAGATCCTTTTGTTTATTGGATGGGGATATTTTCTTTGTGTGTCAATGAAAAGCCTAAGAATTGCATCAAACTTTGTTCCATTTTTTTTTTTTGGAATCTTGATCTGCAATCTGGAATCCTGATCTGCAAGTTGAAAGTCTGCAGAGGGATTTATCTTGATAGAAGAAATTCATAGGAAGCCCTTATTTCTCTCATGATCATGTGCTATTCGGATGGAACGAAGAGATTTAATTAAATTAGCAGCTCATCTCAAGCAAGAGTCTTTGCTGTTTTTATTTTGCTTCTTGATCATATCAAGAAAATTAATAAGATTGCAATGGGACTACCTAGGCAGTGACTAAACCATACCTCTTGTTTAAGCGATTCATGTATCTTAATAAAGATCTACCTTAATTTCCCACTGTAAATTAATCTTGGCCTACAGATTTAGAGACACTGACCTTTACGGGAAATTTGCCTTGGAAGCTGAGTTCTGCTGGCACAATATTGCAGAAAAATGTCAGTTCTCTCTCCCAGCAGGAAAAATATATATGCATCTTTGTGTCTTTCTCTTGAAGGTATAAGTTCGCCTTTTTTTTTTCCCCCCATGTAGTTTCATGTAGTTTTGCCCTTGGCAGTCCCTGCTGGATAAGGATTCGCTCATGTCAGGGGGCTTTCAGACATGGGTGAAACAGGTTCACTTGCCTGCTCATTCTAAGCTAAAACCGTTGTCCCCCTTTGTCACAATCCTGTACAACTGTCTGTCTTGCAGTGAAACAGCTATCAGTGCATCAGCAGCTTGGCCCATAACGCTCTCCCAAGTGTATGTGTCGAGGCTGTGCCACTTTTCTTTTTCTTCTGTCTACTGCCTTGATGTCCAAGAGTTTTCTGCCTTAGACCCAATTTTTTGGCTTGTTTATTTGTTGTATGAAATTGTCTTTCAGAGCACTTAGCAAACAGCATCTAACACATGCAGGATAGATGGCAGCGGTGTTCAATCCTGTCTTGTCCTTTCTAATGATATTGATTTTTTTCTCTCCTTTGCAAGTAATTTTTACCAATATTGATGTGTCTATTTTTTCTTATCAAATGGGTTTCAATAGTGTCAGACAAAATATATATAGAGAGGATGCTTTTCAAAGCAAATGGCAGAGGAAAATTTGATAGGACCATGGCAACATCTGAAATACTGTGTCCTCAACTACTTGTCACATTTGAGCACCATTTTGTTGAATGAGGTTCCAGGATTATATTCTTGGAAGAAATCTGCTGAGGAGGGGGGCACTCCAGTAATGTTCAGTAATACCTTATGAAAGAAGACTAGGAGGGTTAATATTTTTAGTGCAAAGTTGTGAGTTAAAATGGGTATCTTGAAAAAAATGATTTTAAATACCTTTTCAGGGTGGGTGGTGGTTAGGGATCTTGTGTTGCCTTTGAAAGGAATTTGCAGAGTGGGTGCAGTTCTGTGTTACTATTAGCGAGATGCGAGCAGCAACTCGATGGGCATGAAACAGTGCATTTCTTTCTATGTTTTGCAGAGAGGAGTCAGGACAGCACTGCAGCAGTGCTCTCCGACTCCAGCTCCACACAGGATATGTTTAATGAGCCTGCCAGTTCTCAAGACAGCCTGAGGAAGTCTTACCCAGAGAAGAGGATTTCTGCTCCCTGTGCTGATGCACTGATACCCCACAAAGACACCCCGGGATCTACAGAGGAAAAGAGTATGACCACTTTAATAGATAGGATCAGCTTGTGTATTTTATTTTATTTTATTTTTTGCAGCAGGCATAAATATTGAAAAAAGCTGCACTGTGAGCATTTTAATTAGACATTATTGCTGCATGTATGTGTGTAGCTTGAAATTAGAGCTGCTTATTATTCATATGGCCAGCATCCCAAGTTGCTTTATTTTAAAAGCTTATTTACTGTTAAGCTGCTGTCATCGTTGGCCATTTGGCTTTCTTTCCTTCTTTCCTTTGGTATTTATGCCCTTTTTGTTCTGGCCCAGTAACAGACTGACATTCATTACCTAAAAGAGCATAAGTAGCAGAATTAGATATTTTATTCCACTGGATACTTTATCTCTGTAGAGTAGTGGAATTGCTGTCTGCCATAGTTTTTCATAAAAAATATATTAGTGTTTCATATTTCCCTGGAAAATGTTCAAAAAAAAAAAAAAAAAAAAAAAAAAAAGAAAAAAAAAAAAAAGAAAATTAGACCATCCAGTATCCATTAGCTGGAATTTTCCTCATCCTCTGTACAGTTGGATGTGATAGCTGGGCAACTGGGCGTCATTAGAGAAAGAAGTATGGAAAATAAGACTGTTGTATTAATTTTGCCCATGCTTCTGGCTTGTGTGCCCTTTGAAATGTGGGCTGGTAAGTCTTTTCTGTCAGCAAATACTACATTTTAGTCTCTTTCGCCTTCACAGATATGTGAAGTGTGGTGTGTGAGTAGCATTGATTCACTTCACTGATCTCACTGGGAAAAAGTGCCTGCTAATTATTTTTTATTGATGTTGCATATATATATATAAAAGAAACTTTTGTAGTTTATTTTTAATAATATTTTACTTCAATTTTGCCTGAGTTAAGGAAATCTGTGGAGATATGCCTGTGCATGTATAGTGAGGTAGGTTTCAGTCTCTACATTTATAAAATTGTACTTATGCTTCCATTAATCCCAGTAACCTTTTGGAAGTTGAGTTCAGTTCTTCAGACTTGCAGTGAGTTGTGATGTTGCCACCAGCTGTGTGTTGGGAAATTGCTGAATGCAGTTTTCCATTAGTGATTTTTATCAGAACGAATGTTGTATCTGAAAAATACTTTCCTGGTTTAATTACTGATATTATTGAATATTAGGGTTAAGTGTAAAAAACTTAAATGATACCTGTATATTTTTAGGTGCATTGTATATGTATTATATAGGAAATAGCTGAACATGTTGTCATTACCTATGTTAGATGAGCTGCTAAAAAAAAATTCCATGTGTTTTAATTATGCCTTAGACAATTAAATGACAACAAAATTCAAAAGCAAAGCAACCCCTTTGTAGACTAAATGCCTATAGACTTGCCATATATAAGGTACTTGACAAAAAATACTCTTAGGAAATGCTTGAAAATTCATACCATAATGCCATCTGTAAAGTGACGATGAACAGATCTTTTTCAGGCAATTTTTGAATATTTTCTGGCCTGGAAAACATTATTGACTTCAAGCTCAGCTTTATCAAGGAAAAGGCTAAAAAGCAAAGTAATGCTTGTTTAGTGACTTTCTACCCATTGGGAGATAGGGTCTAATGCAAGAGGTTCTTTATCCAAGCAAAGACAGTAAAACTCTGTGACGGGTCTTTCTTCTGCTCCTGTTCTCTTCCAACACTGCATACGTCCTGCACTGGGTAAGTGGACTCGGGGAAAAGTCCTAAGTAAAGACGACAGAGAACTCGGTATGTGACTCTGTTAATGAGCTACGATGAGTTACTTGTTAAATACCAAGAGTAATAATACATTTTCAAGTCTGAAGCAGCACAGCAGTGGGATAATTCTGTTTATGGGGTCATAGAGTCTCCTGTTAATGTTCTAGTTACAGGCAAGTCAGAAGAGCTGCTGGAGACCTCGGAATCCTACCATGCTGCCGAGCCCAGCGGCCAAAAAGTGCTGCTGGATGCTCAGCCTGCTTCCAGCAATCCCATCAAAGCTGTGATCCCGCCCTCCCAGGGGGACTGCAAGAAGAAACCTGACCCTTGTGGAGATGCATCCGACTTTCCCCAGTGCCTCCCCGCGGACCTGGAGGAGCAGCGGAAGCTCCTCACGGAGCAGTGCATCGCCTCCTTCTGCCTCTGCCTCAGCCGCTTCCCCCAGCACTACAAGAGCCTCTACAGACTGGCTTATCTCTACACGTACAGCAAAACCCACAAGGTAAGACAGCCCCTGATGCAGCAGCTGCTTGGTTTATTGCCCAAGTAAATAAATCATCTTGCCATTTGTGTTGAGTGAGGAGGTGCAGGGTTCAAATGCAGCAGCTAGGTTGTTTACTCCAGCCCAGGTTGAAGCTGTGCTGTGGGAAGTCTGCTGTTCCTGCATTCTTTGATCCATGTGTGACCAGAAGAGTAGGAAATTCTTTATTTAAATTGACCTAAGTTATTTTTTGTCATTCAACAAAGAAATAACTTTTAGATACATCACATGAGTGATAATGCTCTTAAAAAAAAATAGCTACTGCCATTTTTATTTTTTTTAAAAAAGTGGACTGAAAAATGACTTGAAGGCAGCAATTCATCTGTATGCATGTAAAAACACAACATGTGACACAGATAGGCTTTCTGGGTGCCTTGGGTAATTATCTGCAGAATGAAACTTTCCTTAGTGGCAAATCAAAGAAATAATTGCCTTAACTCACATAAGGTGTTAGTGGGGTCTTTAAAATGTAAGATTTTATGGTTTTGTAGGTCTGCGGCAAATAAAAACACTAGATTTCTTGCTGCATTTGTGACATTTCTTGTTACTATGTAGTTTAGGGCAGTGCATTTTAGTTGTAAGGAATTAAAGCAGTTTCTCCAACATGATACTTTTGAATTAATCAGCAATATTTTCATAGGAATTATTATATATCTTCCTCCCATCATATAGTTGGGGAAGGCCCAAGATTTTAACACCTACTTTCATTCTCTTCATCTCTTAGGAGTATGGGCTTCCCCTAATCCTGTGCACAAGGTTAGTACAGCCACCTGATGACTGTTTAGATATAAAATCCTAACCATTTCTAAACAGTCATTGAACTAAGAAACAGACCTTGACAGAAATACCACTTGAAATACTCAAAAGTGGCTTACTGCCTTTGTTTTTTTCCTTCTGCTCCTTACTTTACATTCTTTTTCTTGAATATGACAATTATTTGCTGTTTAGAAATCACAGAATGAAAGTCAGTCAGAAGCCCTGCTGTGCACAGACCTGTGATAGTGATTTAAACAAGGCAGAACGGTGTCTCGGTCACTGTAGTAAATGGGAGCTGGATATCACTGCAGGAGTCTGATAAAACCTGCTGCATGTGGATGCTATAGAACGTGCTCTACAGGAAGTATGACTTTTCATGCTTCTGCTATGATAATCCTTTGTCTTCTTGAAATATCAGTTGTTAAAATATGCACAAATTGTAAATCCAGATTTATTATTTCCTTGAGTGATAGTGATAACTAAGTTTGGAACCAACAGATTTCGCACTTGAAAATGTTGTGTCACTTCATATCCCGCAATGCATTACTCCCTGAGTTCTCTTCCCAACCTATATCAAAGCTTTTATAAATTGAATTTCCCCTCTGTATTCTGATACTGGAAGCAAGGGGAATGGAAGCAATCAAAGCACTTGGTACCTTTGATAGAAAACATATCAACAGGACTGCTTCAAACTGAGCAAAAAGAACATGTATCAGCAAGCAGGTGGAAGGTGCTGAATATCTCATTTGGCTGTACAGTGATTACCCAGAAAAATATGACCCTTTTTTTTTTTTTAAGAAAGCTTGTTTTGAAACATTTTTATGCTGTTTGCATGTGACAGTTGTTAATTTCTTCATGGAGCTAATCATTAAGAGGAGCTGTGGATTCTTGCAATCTGTCATTACTGTTGCTGACAAATGATTGTGTATCAACATTCAAAAGGAAAAGCTGCTGTTTTCAATTAATTGGTTCAAATAGCATGTCCTTGCCTGAGGAACTACTTGCAAAATATTTTCTTCGGTTTCTTTTCTCTTGATGATGTCTTTCCTTTGCTCTTCATCTCTTTCTCTACATAGAGGCACAAGCTTAGTGATTAGTGATGTTTTTCAGCATGAAACACAGTGTTGTCTAAATCTCTCTCCCCTTGGAACTCGATAAACTTGGATCTTGCCTGTTTGAGACCAGTAGTTATCAGATTAAACTAGGACTGTTGGGTTTTACTGTCCTTTTAAAATTAATTTTGCTGCATGATAAACAACCACTCAGCAGTGTTAAAAAATATCTTCTTACTAGTATAGATATGTATACTGCACACTCTCTCAAGTCATAATTTTCTTTCTTAAGCTACTGATTCAAGTACTTTCTCAGAGCAATGTCAAGCATCTGTGATACCTGTGATTATAATACCCTGCTATATCCTTGGTGGGATTTTTATGGCTAAACAAAATGAAAACACAAAAGGCAGCTACTGCAGCAGTAACCAGAGTGAGAAGAATACTTAGATATCCTGCTCAAAACCCAGCCCCTCCCACCCCACTCAAAAATACTTAGATAACTCAGATCAGGTAGAGTTGCTGTTGAGGCAGACCAAACTATTGGTAAATTTTAGGAAGCTGACGTTAATTTTCAAATACATATAACCATGTTGGAAAAATCAGCATTTATGTGCCAGTGCCAGGAATTTCTATGAAGAATTTAGACTGGTGGCCAAAATTCATGGTTGGCCAGGAAAGCAGAAGACTGGCAGGTCTCCATAGTGCACAGAACAACAAGCTTTCCATATGCAAGCTGTTTTCTCTCATGTTACACTATTACCCATTTTGCTGATCGGCGATTAGTAAAAATAGTCTTTGGGCTGTTCTTTTTATTTTTTTAAACATCCTTTTGAAAATCTTTCAACATTTTGGCTATGCTTTCTGTTTTCTTCCCCTCCCACCCCCAAAATTCTGCTTACTCTTTAGAGACTGTTTTTCTTTATATTATTCTGTTATCACAGCAAATCTGTGCATAGCTGCATTTTTCTCATACTGAATAACCGCGCAAGAAAGCGGAGGTGAATTTTCAGAAGTTATTTCATTGCCAGTTTGGGCAGGGCTTTTAGTTTCACATTCACCTTCTCTTGTCTGTCCTGAAGAGCATTCTTTGTCCCTTGTGATGTTAGATTTTTATTTCCAAAATGGCAGGATGTTGTTCATCACTATAATTAACAAATTCTGTGCAAATTGAGTATTTACCTTATCTGATCATGGAGATACATAGAGTGGGTCTGATATTATTCAACCAACAGATTGTCAGGAAATAAAAATACTTATTTATATACTTTTTTATTATGGAACTAAAAATACTTTTCAAATCCTTGAAGATGCTTCTCACAGATATTGTTTGCATGACTTAGTTTCTCTTAAATTGGATCATCTGTTATCAACAGAGCCCCTAATGACTTTTAACAGTTATTTGCTAGCTTCATGGTGTAATATCAGTAATATAAAACTGGAGTACTTGACAAACTGCTAGTGTTCATTAGCTGATCTGAGGGTACCCTGACTAGAAGTGGCAGTTGACCTGTTTTGTCAAGTGATTTTTAAAAAATATTAGAAAAAAATCCAGTATCATGCAATGTATTACAGCTCTCGATACTATTTCAGGTGAAGTATCCTCTTCTACATTTACAAGATGAGATTATGAACTTTGGCTCACAAAGACAGTGTGAATTCACTGCCATATCATTTTATCTGTAGCTTTTATAATATTAATCATCAGCTGGGTGTAGGTAACCTGAGTTTAAGGCTTCCTATACTGAGTCCAGAGGCAGTAATCATGATGCACTTTCCAACAGAGAAACCCAGGCCTGGCTCACCGTACTGACAATGTGTCTTTTGCATCATCATTTCTAGGAAAGCAGCAGTCATTGTGTTGATAATTACTTTTATGCGAAAGTCTTTCTAATTCAAACTACATTCATTATGTCAGGTATAGTATAAGGTCAATACTGTGCAACCGTTCAGTCACCCTAGACATAATACAAAAATCAAAAATCTGTAGACTTACTTTGTAGGCACACTTACAAACATAACATATTAGCTGAATATATCTAGGTATTTTGATTAGCAGCAGTTTGGGTGTACTGGTTCACTGAAAACGAACCTTCAAGCTCAGTAGTTTGTTTATTCTGCTTTTGTTTGATCCCGTTGCACTAGTTCTTAATGAGACCAAGCCTATCTAACAGGCTATAAAAGCATATGGGAGGAGGAAGTGAGGTGTATGAGGGCATTTTATAGACCTCTCAGCAACACTTCAGAGGTCCTGGGTTAGGCAAAAGTGGCTTTTGCCACCATGGAGTTAAGGGATATCCATCTCTGAGGTGATTCAGATTTCCACTTATCTGACCATGAGAGATTTTCCTTTTACATTCTGATAATGCAGGTAAACTTTTCTGCAAGTTGCTGTCAGTCATCTTGCCTTTGAATCTTGGGGTGATGAGGATGTGGGAGGCAATTGCTGAACTGGAAAGAGTACTCGGTAATTGCCCTGAGTCAGCCAGCTAAATCCAGCACTTCAGGCTGGCAAACAGTGTGCCAAGAAGAATAAATCCCTTCTGCTATGTCCTGGATTCCTTCACCCACTCCTAATAACTCCATCGGCTAAAAAGCGAGCGGAGCAGACTGAAATCTAATGAGCTGAGACCTGCTCAGCCGTGTTTACGGGGAATAACTGATCATGCTGATTTAAGGAGGGCAGTGGAAAATCTGTAACTACATCTTTTATTCCCATTAGTTTTGATTGTGTGAAGTTACCGTGTAATTGCCCCATTTGTTTGAATGATCTTTTTTGCTCCTAGCTAGGTTACGGTCATCATCTTGTTCAATAACAGCCAATGAATTATATGTTCCAAGTACATGCATATGGAGGGTCAGTATAATGTACCTAGCACGTCACCAGAGTGTGACACTCCACTTAACAATTTCTTAGCATTTTCAGTATAAAACTTTCATTCATAAATAATAACCGTATCAACTACAAAAAGAAAATAACATATAGACTGGGATTTATATATGAAAGTTGGTAGTGGTATCTTCAAGTTTTCCATTTTTTCTTTTTTTAAATAGTTTTAGCTGTAAGACTCATATGAGCACGTATGAACATGACAGTTCATTAAGCCGTGAAGCACAAACATCAAGCAATTTTTTAAATTTTGTTTTCCTGGTTAGTAGAATCTCTTTATGCTTCCAATTACTTCTGAATAATAAAAATTTCTGCTTTGCAGATGAGATCTCCAGCCCATGCGAATCAATTCAGCACTGTCACTTGCCTCTGTAGAACAATATCTCTTCCTATTTCTTTTTTTCTTTTCTATATTAAAACTATCATATTCAAATCTTTAAAAAAAAAAAAGAAAAAAAAAAAGCCAGTTTAATACTCAGCTAAGAAGTCATGAATCAACTGGAGTAAAGCACAACCTGTGTCAGTGAAACCTTACAGTTAAGAACTGGCCCATCTGTTAGTGCTCCTGAGCGGTTTGTTTTGCCCAGAGCCAACAACAGCTGTCCCTGGTTTCCACCCTGTGCAAGAGATGCTCATATCACACACTGAGCTCCTCAAGGGAGCTTCTTCAGTTTAAGCTACAGTTTAAGCTTAAAGGTTGCCTTGTCCGTTTGACATGTCAGCTGCCCAGGCTGTGTCTTTAGAGCTGCAGTGTCAGCCATGGGAGGAGAGCTGGGCACCCTGCAGCAACTGGGCACCCTGCTGTGGGCAAGACGGGAAGTCCAGGGTTGCCAGGGTGGTCTGTAAGGGGTCTTGGTGCATGGAGGAAACCTCTAGGACACACTGAACGATTCCTTCCAATGTCTGGGGAGAAACATGTTGTTTTGTGCAGAAAATATTTTATCCTGATAACTGTAATTCAACTTTTAACACTAGAAAGAGAAATAGTAAGATGCATTAGTGCATTTACACTTCAGATTTCTCTAGGAGCCTGGAGATGACTGGTGGATCTCAAGGGAATGACGGTAAGTCCAAGTCAGTTTAAAGAAAGGTTCCGCAGAGGGACATCACAAAATCCAAACATATTCTTAGCTAAAGCTTTAACTATTACACAGCAGCTCCCAGGAAAATGAGAAAGGAAGTTATCAGATAAATAAAATTTATAGGATTTTAAATTTATTTTATTCATAAATGAATGAAAGGCAGGGAACGTGCAGATCTCACAGCTATGGTGCGGATGCAGAGCCCGAGTGACTCACATGCCCTGCTCTTCCCCGCAGAACCTGCAGTGGGCCCGCGACGTGCTGCTGGGCAGCGGCAGCCCCTGGCAGCAGCTGAAGCACATGCCGGCGCAGGGCCTCTTCTGCGAGAGGAACAAGACCAATTTCTTCAATGTAAGTTCACACTGTTGCGACGCTTTCTCAGCTGGAGCTTAACTCCTGCTTCTCCTTTGCCTGGTTGTAAGGGATGTGACGGGATTTGACACGGGGCACTGAGGGAGCTGCCCAAAAAGTGACGTCCTGTTGGGAGGAGGTTGCTGAGGTTCTCTATGCTGAAGGATAATGTGGGGAAGTTTTATTCCGGAGGGGCTTAAAAAGATGGAGAAGAAAACACCAATGTTTCCCAGTTATGCAATGTTTATCATATATTTGTTAATGGTACTCTTGGTGGTTGAGACCTCTATAAAAATTCTGAGTCTGTTTCTCTTAATTGTCCTCTGCCGTGTTTGCTTGGTCTCGGTGAGACTTGCGCTTCTTGGAACAAGCCAAAACTTGCTCCAAGAAATCTCAGGTGTTGGAAGGAACTTGCCTGTGTTCAGCTCTGGTGGCCTCCCTGCAGCAAGAGGCTCCCAGCACGCAGGGTGACAGCTCGGCCGTGCTCCTTGTCCCTGCACTGTGGGGTCTCTGGTGCCAGGAGCATCTCTGCCTTGCTCAGGGTGGTGGCCCCTCGCGTGCCCATCTGAGCAGCGAACTCCCTGCTGTGGTGGAGACTTCAGATCTCCATGTTGTCTCTAGTATCTCCTGCTTTGCTGAGGTATGTTCTAGTTTTCATGGCCCTTGTGTGTTTGTGATAGGATTTGCTGGATGTTTTGTGGCTTGTGGTGTGTGGAAAGGGCCTGGAGATGCTCTCTCTGCCTTGTATCTCTGAGCTACGTGTCTGTGACTGCCTGTGACTGCAATGATAGAACTTAAGTCTCTGCTCATCTATCCAGTGCTATGTGCCTAGCTCTGTTTTAATATTTTCAATTCTTGTGGCATTTATTTCCATTTTGCACCTGTGACCATCCATCTTCATTGCTCTGTATGGTGTTAATTAGCATCTCTCTGCAAATTTCTGTTAAATGTGCTGTCTTCTGACTGCAACCCTCAACGAGGCTGAAGAACTGAGAAATACTGACGGTGATTCCAAACTGTATCCTGGATCACTTTGCAAAAAGCCCTTCCATTTCATTCCATTTTCTTTTCAAAAAGCTTTGACTAATAAATACTGTCAGCCTGACAATGTTTAGACCCAACAGTTATGATCTGGCTGATGACAGCATGACTTTGGACCCATTTTTCCCTGCAATATCTGCTAGAGTCCCACAGAGACAGTCAGTCGTGAACTCCTCAGGCTGGTGAGTGCCTTGGCTCTAATCCCATTAATACAAGTATTCACAAAGAAGCTAATGAAATTATTAAGCATTCTTGAAGTTAAGTGTTAGCTTTGCTTGATGAAGGGTAACTTGTTCATTACTGCAGGGTAGAGTGTCAAGAGTATTCTAGATTTTCACACGTGAGGGAAACAAGTGCTGGAGAAGTGAGCAATGTGTGTAAAAGAGTGTTTCTGCCTGACAATGTGAGTTCCCACATTAGGAGAGATGGTGGTTGCCGTATCTCACACCTAATTTTTGAGCATCAAGGTTAGAGAGTTTAAAGACAGGTGCCGTGACCTCCATACTTGGAGGTTTACGGTATTTTAAAAAAGTGTTGTTCCTGTCTCCAGATAGCAGTCTCCTTATAGACTGACAAATGAATATGTTAGCATAGATAATAGACACCAGTGCAATAGTTGTTTTTTAAATTTTACAAGTATTTCCCTTAATTTGATATTATTTTTCTTTAATAAGAAAAACATTTTGAAGTAAAAGATCATCTTCCAACAGAAGATACACACCAAACCAGCGCAGTATCCAGGCAGCACTATGAGAAAATAGAGAAAATGGTGAAAATGATGCTCTTGGCTTGGATTTAGGTCTGCCCATAGATGAAGACAGTGCTAGGCAAGAGTCCTGGGTGTCGAAAGCTGCCTGCAGCCTGGAGGCACTTGGTGCTGGGAACGCTCGAGCGTGTCTCAGCTATGGTGACAAGTATAACTAGCACATGGAGTGCCTCAGACTGCCTAAAGGTTGTTGAGGGCTTTGTGAGTCAGTGCCAACATCTTGACTTTCCCTGCAGATATGTCATGTAGTCTTGCTGTTGAACAGGCACAGTATGCGGCAGGAGCTGAGTAGGAGAAAATATTTTGGTCTCATTTGCTCCCAGGTGCATTTTCAAAGCCCTCTTGAATGCTCTGTGTAGAATGCGTGGCAGTCCTCCAGTACAGATGACATGGAGCAGAGTGAGAAAACCCAGATCCAAGAGAGACGTGGCTACGAATGCCCATGCAAAAAAATAAAAAGCTGCTAGTGTCATCTGACATTCCAGAGCTGTACAAACCCAAACCTGTGAACAATTTGGGGAGAAAAACCCTCTAACGTTGCATTTCTTTTGCCTGGGTTAAACCTCAGATGGTTTGTTCTCATCCAAAGCTCTTAGCCAGGCAGGGGGAAAGCAAATGTGCTGCACCATCTGGGTCAGTGCTGAGAATACAGGCTGGTGTGTCATGCATTGCATGCAGATGGTATTGCAGCCCACTGTCCCCGCGAGTGTCTTCACATACAGGATCAGGTGATAAAATAGAACTTTACAGAGCTCTCTGTAAATACATGGTCGCATCTAATCTGAGAAATAAAATGCCCGACTTTTTAAAGATTGCCCAAGCTTTAGGGGTGTTTTTAACAGAAGCACTTTGGTTCTGGATAAACCGAAAATAAACATTTTTTTTTAAAAATGTATTTGTTAAACACTTAAAGTGGTTGTTTCCACGTAAGGCATTTGGTTTAATTTTTGGAGAACTCTTTGCATTTCATGATAGAGAAAAGTTAAATAAACGCCTAAATGGCTTTCTATGGATACGTTACTATTGAAGTCCTTTTTCTTTTGAAGTAGTAGAGCTAGTGTTTTTAATCTCTCGTACTGAAGATTTGAGGTTGTTGGAATTACAGCTGACTCAATTGTACATGTGCAGACAACGGCATGTGAGAGGGAAAGCTAGCTCTTTCTAGTAGGGACTGAGCCAGCCTTCTCATCCCAGACATTTTATAAATCATGCATGCTCCTAGTAGAACTATTTATGAAATGTTTATGAGAGCGCTGTATGAAAAGAAATAAACCGGGGTAAAGCAGTCTCCTCTTAAATTTTACTGCAGGACTGCAGGTCTGAATGTGTGTGTCCCGTTCTGTTGTCCAATTTGTTTGCTGTCACTCAGCTATGGCTAAAATTTCTTTGAAATTATCTGCTACTGGCTTCAGGATGGGAGGAAAAAAGGCACATTTGCTTAGCCCTGATACTTTCCTGCCTGATGTGCTAGAAGAACGTCAGGGTGCACAGAAAATCTCTTTGCATTTCAAGAAAAAGATGCTCTCTGTGTTACTGCCCTTTGCCTACTTGCTTCTCAAATAGAAGAAAAGAGCCCTGATAGTGCAGCTAGGACCAGAGGGGTTTGCATGTCCACTGCCCTGCCCATGATGGGGAGAAATCGTTGCATGGTTGATCATTAGAGGTAGAGTTGCAGGAGTTTTAGCTGGATTTATGTCACTAAATACTCTTTGTTTGGACAGGGACACTTTTCTTCATAGCCTTGCATGTACATGGACTCTCCAACATTCTTCCTTTTCTGTGCTTGTGTGTGCATGTGTGAGTGTAAATAGAGACTTTTATTTTCTTGCAACCTCCAGAATGGTTTCTATAGTAACTGAATTAGCAATCAATTTGCCAGGAAAAAAAAATATTGCTTTATATAGTAGGGTGCTGCTTCGGTTCAGATATCCTGCCACTATTAATAAAACAAAGTTAAACTCTGTGCACAGATGATGGTATTCATGAGTCTGTGGGTGGGTGGTGATTGTGGAAGGAGTATTTTGATGGCTGAGCTCAGTGTGTCAGTAACTTCTCCATATGGTTTCTTATACAGTATTTGTATATTCCTGGCACATTCTCAGGGGAGGGGGTAATAATAATCTGTTGTAATACAGATCTTGATGTCCATCTTTGGTAATTGTTCCCTGCGTATTTTCATGCACAGAATATACTGTAATTCAGATGTTCATATGCAAGGCTGCAAAGTGTTAAGGATAATTGATCTTTACTATGGAGCGGGAATAGCTCTGGGTTACTCTCCTCCTAGAATGTCTTCTCAACTGGCAAGTGCCCTCCCAGCTCCTGGACATCTGCGACGTGGAACATTTGTCTTCTGGGAGAAACAGCACCATTGGAATCAGATTGCAGAGAAAGGGAAAGAGCTTGAAGTAATTTCTGTCTATCCATGTGTGCTGAGATTGTCTCAGTCTGGTGAGGCTCAGGGTTGAGCCATGTATGGGGCACCAAGAGAATTGGTGGTTATTTGAGCATGTTCACGATTGGTTGCAATTTTCTGAACAAATACTGATCTTTTTAGCACTTTTAACACTCTCTGTGAAAATGAGCATAAGAGGATGCCGAGCCAAGATAAAAACAGAAGAATGAAATCATTAGTGACATCCCAGAAATCACAAGGGTGTGAAGTTAGCTGATTTTTGCCCTTGTTTTTAAGTTTCTATTTAAAACAAAATAGTAACAATAGTGTAATGGTTGAACATATTTATGCATCTTAATATGGTAGGAAGATAAAAACATCTGTTCAGGGGATGGTTAAGTTCTCCCTGCCTAGGGAGAACTGTCTTTAATCTTTTCAGTAGATGGCTCATTATTTATAATGTAGCTGTAAAATGCTTGGGTTCTTCTCCACATATCAGCTCTGAAAAAGATATTTTTCTACTTAGTGCCATTCAGTGACCGCAGGTTTTTACTGCTCGCTTTTACTGACTAGAAAGTATTCAGAGGTTAAGCAAAAGAGGTCTCCCTGATGGATATTTTCCTCACCTGCCAGGAGAAGCCAGCTGCTTAATGCAGGACCCATGGGGAGGGCTGGGCAGGTCAGCCAACACCTCTGCTTAGCCAGAGAGAACTCATGCCCTTGCTATACCCTGTTGGCAATATCTTGCCTTAACAGTCTGCCTTGCTTTCTGTGTGATCTTAGTGAGTATTTCATTGC